GGGGTTTGGTGCAGAAAAGCATCAGGAGTCTCAGATACTCATCCACATCTTTAGGGTCTGGAAAACTGGGCTGGGAATTCTGGAGAACAGGCTCTATCAGGAGATTTCTGGTATTTCCTGCCCTGATGGAAATACCCACGGTAGACTATCTGAGGTATCTCCAGACTATCTCAGAGCATCTTAACGATATGTTTCTAGGCCCAGCTGGAACTAGGAAACCCAGAAAATCAGAAAACCTCAATTATAATCAAAACTGAGATGGGTCAAAACTATTTATCTAAATCCCCTGAACTCTGGAGTTTGTACAAAATGGGACTCAGATCTTAGCCATCCCTCTTTTGGTTTTTGGTTTTGAACAATGGAACTCCAGCCTATGAGGTCTGGCCAAACCAAACCCGCCCCATTGATGGCCATCTCTAGGAAAAAATTTAACTTCCTATATCATCACTCAGAGTGATGAGCAAAGATCGGGGTCATCTGCTACTTTATATAAACAAAAAGAACAGGAGTACTTGTGGCACCTTAGAGACTAACAAATTTATTTGAGCATAAGCTTTCGTGAGCTACAGCTCACTTCATAGTATGCATCCGATGAAGTGAGCTGTAGTTCACGAAAGCTTATGCTCAAATAAATTGGTTAGTCTCTAAGGTGCCACAAGTACTCCTTTTCTTTTTGCGAATACAGACTAACACGACTGGTACTCTGAAACCTTTATATAAACAGGTTCCTTCCTGCCTAATGTAAAGAGGTAACTATATTAAACAAAGGAGAAGTTGAGAAATTAGAAAATGAAACAAAGGGGACGCTGAGAAATTGGAAAATGAATGCAGTCTCTCCCTTAGCAAACATCAGCATAGACTCCTTTTTTTAAGGACCAGCCTGAAACACATGCTTTAAAGCAGGGGGTGAGGTGGGGGTTTAATCTAGCAGCATCATAAAACTGGTCATGTTTTATTGTAATAGAATTCCGGGCGATATTTTGAAGGCGAAGGGGAACTTCCTGAATACTTTGGCTATCCTGGTTCTAAAGAATATTTAGCAGCTTCCTTTGACTTCCTTGATAGCGTGCTGTCGATTCCCCAAAGCCCGCTCCCTCATTCATCATGGGAAAGCAAACACAATTAGCTCTCCAAGCACTGGGGTTATTTTAAGGAAGTTAAAAACCCAGAGGGCTGAATCAGTGTCTGTCCAGTGCCAGATGCTGGCATATATAGGTCTGTGGTATCATTGAACAATCTGAGGTTACATAGTTAGGAAAATGTAAACTTGCCAAGACCAATATTTTTCAAAGGGATGATAATACTTTAATCTCCATTTGCAGCCTGAGACACAGCTGCTCCAGTAAGCATTCTTGAATTCTTTTCTTTCACATCTTTGATATAAGCAGATTGTAGCAAGCTCAATTGCTTTCCCATCCCACACCTTCCAATGGCCTGGCTGGGCTAAAAGGCTTAATAAAGCTAGTGAATATTTTATAGTTGCTCTCAAGGTTCCTCCCCCACTCTGAACTCTAGGGTGGGGACCTGCATGAAAACCTCCTAAGCTTACTTTCACCAGCTTAGGTTAAAACTTCCCCAAGGTACAAATTAATTTTATCCTTTGACCCTGGATCTCCACTGCCACCACCAAACTGTAACTGGGTTTACTGGGAAACGTAGTTTGGACACATCTTTCCCCCCAAAATCCTCCCAACCCTTGCACCCCACTTCCTGGGGAAGGTTTGGTAAAAATCCTCACCAATTTGCATAGGTGACCACAGACCCAAACCCTTGGATCTGAGAACAATGAAAAAGCATTCAGTTTTCTTACAAGAAGACTTTTAATAGAAGTAAAGGAATCACCTCTGTAAAATCAGGATGGTAAATACCTTACAGGGTAATTAGATTCAAAACATAGAGAATCCCTCTAGGCAAAACCGTAAGTTACAAAAAAGACACACAGACAGGAATAGTCATTCTATTCAGCACAGTTCTTTTCTCAGCCATTTAAAGAAATCATAATCTAACACATACCTAGCTAGATTACTTACTAAAAGTTCTAAGACTCTATTCCTGTTCTATCCCCGGCAAAAGCAGCATACAGACAGACACAGACCCTTTGTTTCTCTCCCTCCTCCCAGCTTTTGAAAGTATCTTGTCTCCTCATTTGTCATTTTGGTCAGGTGCCAGCGAGGTTACCTTTAGCTTCTTAACCCTTTACAGGTGAGAGGATTTTTCCTCTGGCCAGGAGGGATTTTAAAGGGGTTTACCCTTCCCTTTATATTTATGACAGTTGCGTTGCAAGTTCTCTGATGATGGTGGTTACACCTGTTTTCTAAAATGGGCTCTGATCCTGCACGGTACTGAGCACTTGCAGCTCCCATGGAGTGCAGGGCAATCAGAACTTTGCAGGATAGATCCCGTGAAGTTTAAGAAAGTATGTCAATCCAAACTATTTGGTGAGATCCAATGACAACATGGCTTTGGATTCATTCAATGTTGTTTATTTAAATCTTCTCCTAAGCCAGCATGTGTAAATCATTTTTCATGTCATGTGAACCATAACAGTACTATACACTACGCCTATATTTAAGGTTGATTGACATTTCCCATTATAAAGCCATGTTTTTAATGGCTTATAACTTTGCCAAACTTTAACCATTTCGGCTGAAATTTCATAGGCCAAGTATCTGCCTCGGGCTGAATTTAAAAAAAAAATCAGCTAAAATGGTTCTGCTATTTCTGAGAATGAGGTCAGGAAAAAATACCTCTTTTTGCCCATGTTAAAAAATTCTTACGACTGTTTCATTGAGAAGCTCTAGCGGCTCTGTGCTTTGGAGCAGGGACTTGAAATTTGGCAGAGGCATCACCCTAGTTTCAGTTATGTGCCTTTTGCCATTCCTGGAAAACTCTACTCAAACTTGGCCAAGCTATAAGCCTCTGAAAATTGTTGCTCTCACCTGCTCCATAGAGGTTGGTTATTCCACAAAGACTCTGTACTGAGCATGCTCCATCCCCACACACCTCCTATGCAGAATTACATTTTAACCAGGTAAACACTTATTTTACACAACGTGAAATCTTCCTCACGGCACTTCCTGGCTTGCTAGCTACATTCTATCCAGCAGGCATAGTTCTGTAACATCAAATAACACAAATGTCATTGCAACCCATGGTACATTGTAAGGAGAGTGATCACTTTAGATAAGCTATTACCAACAGGAGAGTGGGGTGGAGGGAGAGAAAACCTTTTGTAGTGATAAACACCCATTTTTTCATGGTCTGTGTGTATAAAAACATCTTCTGTATTTTCCACAGTATGCATCCGATGAAGTGAGCTGTAGCTCACGAAAGCTTATGCTCAAATAAATTGGTTAGTCTCTAAGGTGCCACAAGTCCTCCTTTTCTTTTTGTGAATACAGACTAACATGGCTGTTACTCTGAAACATGGTAACTATGGTTACCATTTAGTAAATCAACATATGCCAACAGTTACCACACAATGTAAGTGAACATACCATTGCCATTTCCTATATGCTTAGAACTGAAAATAACTGCAGCATTTTAGATTTTACGTGTTGACTAAAGGTACACATTGACTTTATAATGGTGACCACTGTAGCTAGTAAATCAGGTGTTGCCGGACGGATGTCACAGAGCCTAAGTATACTAATGAAGTACATTTATTACTTATTTCTATGCTAAATGATGTCCTTACGCACACTGGTTAGCAAGAACATTTGGTATATTATAGTGGTAAGGAAGCAACACTGTAGTTAAAGTTGCATCATGATATCTATTTAAGGTCAGCCTTTCAAAGTCCACTAAAATCGACATGCTTTGTTGCATTTATCTGAGATTTGGTGTTCCTCTGGAGGGTGCAGGGTAGGGTTAATGACGTAAACTGGTAGTCATTAGAGCCAGGGGTTCTGGAGATATAAGCCATGAAAAAATAGCTATTTTTAAAAAGTTTCTAGGGGTTTTTGTTTGGTTTTGGTTTTGGGGGGATTTTTTGCCCAGAGTTGATCAAACTGTTGATGAGCTCTGGGTCAAAATGGTCTCAGTCTATTGAGTTTTACCCAAGGTAGTGCATGGCACTCCCTAAATCTTTGGAGCTTCCAGCTTGAGAACAGTATTTAAGAAAATGTATATTTTTGCACTGTGCACACGCCAATGCAGAAAAACAGCTAGAGGCGTTCCATTCCCACCATTTTATAAGCTTTAAAGCTTGACTCCGGTAAGTGCTCTAAAATCCAAAAGGTTAGTTGGATTGCTTTGAAATTGGGTGTGCCTCATGGGGATGCTGAACAGCTTTAGTGAATCAAATTTGGGGTCACTTGACCAAGGGGTTCCCAAGGTATTGCCCCGCCCAGCGCAGTTTATTTCTGATGCCTTGTACTGTTAAACTGAAAGGTTCTAATGACTGGATAACTCTCAGACTTCTCGATAGCTGATGTGAGCTCACCCTTCAATCAACATATCTAAGGGTAAGTTAATCACAAGCCCCCACTGAAGACAAAAAAAGTTTTGGATGGCGTGCCTGGAGGTTGCTGCAATTGTTGACAATTTTATTTTGGAGGGAATATAATTGAAGTCTTTGGAGGGAAAAAATTAGACAAGTGAATGCATCCTGGGAGGGAATGCAGTGGCAGTGGAGTGGGTGTGTAGCAAGGGGAAAGGGTTATGGGGAAGGGTAAATGGGTATGGATGATAGGGGAGGTGAAAAAGGTTGGGGACTCAGGTGAGGGAGACATGGCACCCCCCAACTCTGCCAGTGGGGCCCAACCTCTTGCACCCCAGAACTTTTCCACTGTCACATAGTTGTCCTTCACTCCAGGCCCTGGATGTGAGTCAGGTTATAAGAGGAGGGAAGTAACAACAATAGAACCATTGATATGTGTGGTTAGATGTTGATAGATGTTTGGCTGCATGTGTGTGTTCCCTCTGTGTGCCGCCCCAGGCCTGCGCAGACAGCTGGCACGGCAGAGCTCAAATGAACCACCCAATGACTACAAGATTCGTTAAGGGACAAAGGCACCCAGCCAGGTTTATTGTCGATGAAGCACAGTACTAATATCCCACAGACTCTACCAGACCACTAATACATGTATGTCCATAACAGTGGACCACCTCAGTGAATGGCAGGACTTTCACTCTAGACCATTCTTCTCTAGACCAGACAAAGATACTTTCTTTGAGATACATTTTTATACCCCAACACAAGTTAGTACTGCCAATTTTTTTTTTCATTTTTGTCCTTTAATAGTGTTACATGGGATTTTGTGGGTAAGCGTGAATGGGGCTGGCAGAGTAAAGATAGGTGTGGTCACAGGGTGTATTGGGACATTGCTGAACAAAAGCAGAGTTAAGGTTGCATGGGCAACCTTAATTCTCCATTTCCTGGTTTTCAGAAGTTTGAGTTTTGCTCAATTCAGTGTTGTGCAATGGGATGACATACCATCCAGCAATCTTAACTCTACATTAACACAGCTTTTTACCATTGAATAAATCTGTGCTTACATCAGATTTTCATGTTAGGGTTTCACTTGAGCTTTAACATTCTTAAGGACTGGTAGAAAATGTCCTCCAGAAATCTATTTCCTCTTTTAAAAATACCCCATTATTGTACTGGGGTACAATAATGGGGTAATGTAATGTAATGTAATGTAATGACTCGTACTAGTCATTAAACTACAGACAGCTCCGAAAGTTATGCATGCTCCTGATGACACTTCTTCCATTATGACAGGTTTCAGAGTAACAGCCGTGTTAGTCTGTATTCGCAAAAAGAAAAGGAGGACTTGTGGCACCTTAGAGACTAACCAATGGACTCCTCCTGAAGGTCGAAACAGCAGACTGGACTTCTACATAGAGTGCTTCCGCCGACGTGCACGGGCTGAAATTGTGGTAATTGGTTAGTCTCTAAGGTGCCACAAGTACTCCTTTTCTTTCTTCCATTATGTTAAGGCTTGAGTGGAGTTATGTCTCCTAAAGCAGATATGAGGGTTTCTGTTGCATTAGAATTATAATGAATGAGGGTATGCCAAATAGAAGGCAAAATTGGCCAGTGTTATGTGCTGGTGTTGTGTGTGGATGTTCTTACTAGGTGAAATTTACCCCTCTCTTTGGGGTGAATTTCACCCAGTATAAATAGCCAATCATAATGACATACCTTTAAAATTATAGGAAGGTAGCCACCATCTGAAATCCGTGGCTCTCCAAAGATAACCACTACAATCAAAATTCTTTTGTGGAGCTATAGCTGGTGTATGTGTGTGTGTGTGTAGGAGACTCTAAATTCCAGAAAGAAAAGGAGGACTTGTGGCACCTTAGAGACTAACCAATTTATTTGAGCATGAGCTTTCGTGAGCTACAGCTCACTTCATTCCACGGTATGCATCCGATGCAGTGAGCTGTAGCTCACGAAAGCTCATGCTCAAATAAATTGGTTAGTCTCTAAGATGCCACAAGTACTCCTTTTCTTTTTGCGAATACAGACTAACACGGCTGTTACTCTGAAACCTGTCTAAATTCCAGGCTCAACAGAAAGGAAAGCATTTTAATTTCCAGTGTTAGAAAGTATCAGAGTAAAAATGAGTTGTAGTCTGCTTCTGTACAGGTTACAATTGTTTAGAATAAATCAATACATTTGAAATTTGTCATTATTGGCATCAAAGAACTCTGAACTACAAGAAAAACAGCAAACATTTTCCCATAGATAAGTGTATGTCAGACATAATCATTTTGATTCATTAATGTTACCTATCTTTCCCTCCTATAAAACATGTGACAAGGGCTGATTATTCCACATATTCCTATTCGTGTGCAGTGTTTCCATATGCTTGCAACCCAACTATCGCTAAACTAATCAGCACTGTCTAGGATAAATTGCATTTCCACCAATTATAGCTTAATTGTTGACAGATGGGAACACAAGAGGGAAATATGTGGAATCATTCAGAGGACAGATGTATAGCCCAGTGCCAGGTTAATTGTTCCATCCCATTAAACCATTGACTTTTGTCTATACCTAATAAAGCTTTCACAATATTTTCCTATTCATGGTGGTTAAGTGAGATCTGGAAAGCGTTCACAGAGGTATTTATTTTAAAACATAGAATCCAAGTAAAACAGTCGTTAGTCATTAGCTACCTTTACTATTTACATTGTTGTCTTCTCAAAATTAATCTCTTTTTTTGGTTTAATTTTAACATTTGATTTGATTTTGTTTCAGTTTGCTTTGTAGGGGTTTTGTCATGAAATCACTGTACGTAGTCTGAACTTTTGGGACAGTGTCAGTTATTTTCTCATGGTTGAAGCAGGCAGAGATGCAAAAATTCATAGATTATAAAGCCAGAAAGAACCATTGTGACAATCTAGTCCACCTCATTACATGGCAGTTACATGCATGGATAGAGGGGATAAGGAAGTACAAGCCTACAGTTAAGACTCTGAACTGGAACTCAGGATATCTGGATTCAAATCTAGTCTCCGCTACAGACTTTCTGACCCTGGCCAAGCCACTTAGGCTGGGAATTTGAAAAGAGCCTAAGGGAGTTAAAGACCTAAATCCCAATGAAATACAGTTGGCAGTGGGTATCTAACTCCCCTAGACTTCTATGAAAATCCCAACCATAATATTTCTCTATATGAGTCCACATCTGTAAAATAGGAATTGTAATACTGAGCTACCTAACAAGGATGCTGTGAGCTAAATTCATTGTTTGTGAGTTGCTCAGCATTACAACGATGGGGCTGTCTAAGTATATAGACAATAAATGTCCTAATTTGAAGGATAAAAGAGGTTGAAAATTGTGGGAAAGGAATGTGGGTTTAGAATCAATTATCTTTATTTACTGTTTGTTGCTAGGTTCTTTATAGACAGATGGTGGCAACAGGCCCAACTGTGCCCTGATATCTTTATAAATCAAGAGTAGTTCTACTGAAGTCAACGAAGTTATGCTGGTATAAGTGCAGTCAGAATCCAACCAAAGGTCACTTGCAGATCTTGTGCTAATTAGATGACATACTGACAGAAGGATGGCGAGGTCACAGTGTGACTGAATGGCAAGGTAAGGCAGGTGTTTTGTTAGTTCCACAATTCCTCTTGTGCCTGTGCTTAGGTACACGTAAATTTCAATAGGACAAAAGGGTGAGGATGTGCCAGGCTAGGGCCTATGAGCTACCTTGAAGATGTTTCTCCCCCAAAGAGGCTCTTAAAAGAGAAGGTGGCAGAGCAAAGGTAATAAGGTGAGCAGGGGGACGAGACAAGAGGAGGGAGTAATTCTCCTGAGAGTTGGGTCATCTGATCCTACAATCCAAACTCACACAAAACTCCTGCCAAAATCAATAGGCATTTTGCCTGTCTCAGGAGTGTAGGACTAATGTTACCCTTTATTTCTTGTTCAGTGGCATTCCCCTATGTACCCCCATCTTAGCTGCGTTAAAACAGCTGCATGATAAATAATTTCAGTTCCAGTATATTGTTGTATATTCCCCTGAATTTCTCATTATATCTTTCCACAAAGCAGATGCACCTTCACAATGGTGGCCCTTCGAGACCTGCAAAGATAAATGGGTTTAGTCATATCTGTATCTGCAGTGTTCCTTTGTATTTCTTCATACTTGCACAAACTATTTACTTCACAAAAGAAGTAATTCTTAACAGCATCAGGCTATCCATCCAGTGGGTTTAAAGCATAATCAGAGAGCTGAGTTTTTTCAATGCATGACTCCAGTCCCATCCGGATCGTTTGCAGTTAGAATTCCTTATCAAAGAACTCATCAAACAGAGGGATTCTCTCTGTCTTGGTTCTCACTAGTGCAGGTTTGTGACCCAGCTTTCTCTCTTCTCTTTTCCAGTCATCTGAATCAGTGCTAGAGCTGTCCCAGAATAGATCTCTTGGATCCTGATGCTTTACGAACCACATTTCCACTTTACTGCTCTGACTGGGATAGGATTCAGCCATCTCGTGTGGCTCCAAGAATTCTCCATCCCATGTATTTCCTAAAAACAAGAAAACCATCTTCTTAATTATTCTGGGTTGCACACCCAATTGCAGAGGGGTTATCAAGGACTTACTGAGGGTTGGTGGAATCACATCAGAGGAACCCAGGGCCCAATTCCAAAATTTGTGCAGAGCAAACTATTATTTTTCTTTTCTCTCCTTATGTAAAAAAGATTCTCAGACTGTAAGTGTTAGATGCTGTAGCATATAGGAAAAGGATAATGTCCCTTTAAATAGTTGATGAGCCTTCTAATGGTGCTCACCATGTTTTATGTTCAAGAAGCCAACAGAAACCAGCTAATGTGGCCATCTGTATGTAGTTAGGTTCTGAATGTTCATAAATATTTAGTAAAAATGATTATTTGAATAGAAATGTGCCCATTGTGCTTTCTTCATATTGTTGTTGTGTAAAGAGCACAAGGCACAACAGATACATTCTGGAATAACTCCAGTACTAGAATGCCATGTTTATTATTAGAGCTGGTTGAAGAATAGATTTTTTTGGTTCATTGGCAACTTTGAAAAATTTTAACAAAATGTTTCAGGTCAGACTGAAAACAAAATTTTTTAAAAAATGTTGGTGAATTCAAACATTGACTTTTTTTTATTCCAGACACATGAAACCTTTTGTCTCAACAAAATCAAAACGTTTCATTTTGATTTCAACCATTTTCAATTGTTTTTTGGATTTTTAAAAAATAAAATTAAAGGAAAATTTGAAATAAAAAGTCCTTTTGAACCGAAAAATCAAAAAGTTGAAAATGACCAAATGAAATGGTCTGATGTTGCCAGACTATTTTAAATGAACAATTCAGCAAATGGACATGAATTTACAAAATATTTCAAGGTCACTGAATCTGCATTTTTCGCTGAAAAGTTTTGACCAAAAAATGTCACCCACCTCTATTTATTATGCTGTTTCCAAATTTTAAACCAAATATTGTTTTTATATTTAGTGATAAAGGGGGGAGATTTTATACTTTTATGTACAACCTTTGTTCAGTCTCAGAACCTTTTTCCATAAGTGGTGTGAACTGGCCCCAAAAGCTGTGGAGCACGCTGGCCCTGATCCAGCAAAATAGTTAAGTACATGCTTAACTTCATGCACATGACTAGCTGCAATGAAGTCAAGCCCAAGTTCCTATATACTTTGCAGGCTCAGGCCAGAGTGCTGAACACCAGGCAGGGTTGAGCTCTATATTTTTAGGTGCATAATTATTAAATATATGGTGTGATAAGAGGCAGCATGGTTTAGTAATGGTTTAGCTAAGGGCCATGGGGCTTTTAGCTCATGCAGTAGAGGCTCATGCATTTCGCTCCCGAAGTCCCAGGTTCGCTCCTGTTTGCCGACGAACAGAGTCCGTCGGTGTTACACCTGATTCACATCTCACACTTGTATATCTACATTAACTTCATTGAAGTTACTCTGGATTTATGCCATTGACAAGTGAGATCTGAATCAGGCCCTTGAGTACTGTGAAAAAAACATAAACAGAGTTAAAGGTCTCAGAGAAGCAGTTCAGAATGAGTTCTTCATCAAATGAATGAGAGGGAGAGGAGCCTGCTCCACCGCGAATTTGTATTAATTGCTAGGGCTGTCCCATATGTATAGCGTAATCGACGGCTGACTACAATGCATCCTGACAGGCAGGCCATGGCGGAGTCACTGCTATATTGAGTTCTACCAAGGGACACATGTACATGGAATGAGCAGAGCCATCCACACAAACTCTTCATCAAAAGGAATCAGACTCTCCTCAGTCTCAAAGGCCTCTCTGTGGAACAGCATCACTTCAGGGTTTGCTGTCCTTGGCTGACTCCAGCCCTTCAGTCGCAAGGGCTTAGTTCAAGGTATTCCATCAGGAGGCAGGTTGCACTCTCCTAGCTATCCGAATTGCAGCTTGTGTTATTTTTAGCACACTCTCTGAGCAATGTGGTCCTGGCATGACCTGTGAATGCAGTGATCTTTGTTCCACATTAATATGCCTATACAGTAGAATGTGCCTTGCGTGACCATCCAACCAATCAGTAAAAACTAGGCATCTACTAGAGACAGCCTGTAATTAAAGGTTTAACCAAAGTGTACCAGAAACCCCAGGGTGCACTTTAAAGGGTTTCTTTAGGACAATAGGTTGCCTTTTGAAGGTGGCTTTAGTGCAGCTATCTAATTAAAATATCTTTTGCCAGCAGTATTCAGCCGCGAGTCCCCTTCCGCTCTGGTCCGGCAGGACTCCTGAGTCTTTGGGGTTCTTCCCCTAGAGATAGTGGGCCTGAATCTGATCTCAGATTCACACTCACTTTCATCCAGGGCATGAGGCTAAGGTGAAATTCAGCCCTATGCAGATGGCCAGCAGAAGCCTGTGCTGAGGGCTCACATAGGATGGAAAGTGGATCCTGGACCTTGGCACTCCAACTCTACAGACAGAGCCATTCATCCACGGAGACCCTCACGCACCTACACACCAAAAGCTATACCCATCTGTGATGGGGTACCTACCCCACACTGGCATAGATGGGGTTTCTCATGCCCTGTCCCAGAAGAAGCAATGGATGGGGAATCCTCCAAGGGACCCAGAGAGGCTGCGTGAAACACAGCCAATCAGGCGGGAATTGCAGGGAGACATCCAGGCCCAGTAGGCTCAGATAAAAGGGAGCTGCAGAGCAAAGTAGGATCAGTTGCTGCTAGGAGCCCAGGGAGTAAGGACTGCACCCCTGGAGGACTGAGAGAACTAGAAGCACCTTGGACAGAGCAGTGACTGGCTCCTAGGACTGAGCAGCTGAGGGCCCTGAGGTGAGGGTGAAGAAGGTGCTGGGGCCATGGGGAAGTGGACCAGGGAAACAGAGCCACATTGACAGAGGTTACAGAGGAGCTGCAAGAGGCTGCTATTTACAAAATCCCTGGGTTAGGGCCTGGAGTAGTGGCTGGGCAAGGCCAGGTTTTCTCCACCCCCCCCGCCACTCTCGCCGCCGGGAAAGTGGCTGGGCAATAGGACAGTAATATGCACTTTACCCCCTCCCTTTCTCTTCTTCCCCCCTCCCCCCCGGAAGGCAGAAACAGAGATGATGACCTAGCTGGAGGGCTGAATCGCAAAGAGGATGCTGCGGTTCTGGGAGCCGAGAGAGGAGCCGTAGGTGGGAGCAGAGACAGAGCGCCGGTGGGCAGATGTGAGTGTTGGACTCGAGCTAATCCCCAGCATGACCAGGAGGAGGCACCTGTCTAGCGATGAGGACTGCGGCCCGTGACACCATCCCATTGCTAAGGAGACGTGAGTACAAACTGGACAGACTTGTTTGAAATGTGGACAACTAGGATGTTGAAAACATAAGCAGAATTTCTGGGAGCCCCTTTTTTTTTTGTTATGCCCACAATGTTTTCCTAGAAGTCTAACTTATCGCTGCTTTTGCTCCTTTCTCTTCCCCAGCAAGGCTAAGGAAGCAAAATCATTATATGTTACTGTGACGTTGCACTCTATATGATTTTATGAAAATATGCGAATGAGTGTGAATATAATGTAACTGGAATATGGTCCATGCAAAAGGTCTCTTGTAAGGTATCATTACAAAGCTTATAATCTACTGAGTGTGCTCATCCTATTTGTACGAATGGATCATTCTTGTATCTGAAACTAGAAATACGAAATATAACTCTGAGGTCCTATTGTAATTATGCAAAGTATGGGCCATTGATGGTGGTTTGGAATCTTGATGGCTCCCATTAACCAGGACAATTGACTGTAGATGGCTCTGTTTACTTGCAAGCCTTCCTATGAGTCAGGCCAGCAAGAATGAAGGCTTGGGGTCTCACAGGACATGTGACCATGTCATCTGGTACTGGAATCCATCTTAAACCTGGTGCTTTTCCATTTAGATCGAACCCGTCACAGTTACACTGCATCAGCGAGAGAATCCAGAGACCTAGCAAAGAGCAACTGTTTGGTACTTGTATTATCGCAGAGCCTAGGAGCCCTAGGCATGGCCCCAGACTGCATTGTGCTAGGTGCTGCACAAATGCAACAAAGAGACAGATGCTGCCCCAAAGAGATTACCATATAGACAGCCAGAGGCTGCGGGAAGGGGTAGGACACACAATGTGAACAATGTGATGGCAGCAAATGTCATGTCAGTTCCATGGGGGGTTTTCTCTCATTTTCTTTCCCTTATCTGCATATATTTAGGAGAGGATCAGCTAAATGGACAGAAAAGGGAAGGGAGAGGAGACAGTGAAGGGAAGTGGGTGAGGGGGACAGGGCAGGGAAGAGGAGGGTAAGAGGGGCAGGTGTGGGGTGACACAGAGGACGAGGGGGAAGGTTGAAGCAAACAGCCAGTCAGCATGGGGCAGAGAAAGTTCAGAGAACTGGAAAAGCCTGCCCCAAACAGGTACAGGATCAGGCCCCTTGTCTGTCTCCTCCTTTTTGCATTTATTTTCTCAAAGGGCCCTGGGCTGGAGCTCAGAGAAGAGGGAGAACATGAGAACGGCCGTACTGGGTCAGACCAAAGGTCCATCTAGCCCAGTATCCTGTCTTCCGACAGTGGCCAGTGCCAGGTGCCCCAGAGGGAATGAACAGAACAGGGAATCATCAAGTGATCCATCCCTTGTCGCCCATTCCCAGCTTCTGGCAGAGGCTAGGGACACCGTCCCTGCCCATCCTGTCTAATAGCCATTGATAGACCGATCCTCCATGAATTTATCTAGTTCTTTTTTGTACCCAAAAAAGTTGCTGGAGGACCTGGGCTCCCCACCAGCCACTGGAAAAGGGAGTGCAAAGATCCCAGGGACCAGAGGTGAAACAAATGCTGTTTCAGAACTCCGGCCGAAGACTTGGCTTGAGACTGTTTGTTGGACTTTCGGTTACCCTGAGGGGGCTACGGGGAAGCTATAAGTGACCTGGCTGGAGGCGGGGGGAGGGGGAAGGAGAGCCTGCTATACCAAGTTCCACAACAAGGGAGTGAACAAGCCTTGAGTCCCCTCTTCTACACGCAGTAGTTCTCAAACTTTTTTTTTTCGCGGGCCACTTGAAAATTGCTGAGGGTCTTGGACTACTTAATGATCTTTCCAAATGTTGTTTGTACCATTACTAATTATTGTAAAGCGCTTTGGATAAAAGCATTCTATGAAAAAAAAGTTAATAATAATTAACATTTTTTTGGTCTGCAAATAAAAGCACACAACTCATATTTTAATATCCGTAGTCTTACCTTTCTAATGCAATGGATGTGCTGTCTCTCCCCCGCCGTGGCAGCCCCCGAGCTGGGACTGGGAAAGAGGTGGATCTCTCCCCTCCCACGGCAGCCCCCGAGCTGGGGCTGGGAAGGAGGTGGGTCTCTCCCCCACCATGGCAGCTCCTGAGCTGGGGCTGGGAAGGAGGTGGGTCTCTCCCCTGCCACGGCAGCCACAGAGCTGAGGCAGGAAGGAGGGCCATCTCTCCATGGCAGCCACAGCCCTGAAGCTGGGGAAAGTCGCCTCTTTCTCTGGCCGCCTCAGCCTTGCACATCCCAAATTCCCCCACCCCCTCTTCTCACTCCACTGCCCCCTCCCACCTAACCCCTGTTCCCCCCCAAGGCCACCACCCCACCTTACATATGCATCTTCTCCAGGCTCCTGCACGGCTCCACTAATTAGGTGGGTGGCCCGTCATTCTCTCGTGTGCAGCCGCCCAGACACGCACCTTAGAGGAAACTATCCACGGACCACCTGAATGGAGCTTGTGGACCACTGGTGGTCCATGGACCACAGTTTGAGAAACTCTGTTCTACAGTATGCTAATTATTGCAACCATACAGGAGTGCAGGTCCATGTACTGGCGCCAGGGATGAACTCGGCCCAGTGCCATGCAGGGAAATCAGTCCTTTTCTATTATGGTGGGCAGGTATTTTGCTTTGTTTTTCCTGATATAAATGTCTGTGTGTTACAATGAAGAAACAACCATAGTAACTCAAGTTGGTGGCCAAATTAACTGGGCATGTCTTAATTAGTCACTGGTAACTCTTAGAAAGTAAACACTCTAATACCGCCTAAGAGTCATGCACTCTACAGGGATCGACACCAATCCCACAGTGTCAGTACCGAGAGACGTAGGGCCCAGTCCCTGGCTCTGGCCAAACTGGAGTCAGCGCGGGACCCAAGAGGAGGGGGCAGAGCGGGCTGCATGCTGGTTTTGCACTTTCTGATCCCTTGGAGGTGATGCTGACTGGTATTCCCCTTCCTGTTCACAAGTTAGAGTAGTTCTGAGGCTCCTCTAACATGTAGCAGCTTGTTACGGGTCCCCAGGGGCAGTGCTGAGGACCACTGGAACACAGCAGGACTCCAGTGATTCCCCATGAATGCCCACCACATACCAATATGGCAGAGGTTCGGGGTGCAGGGGAAGGGGGAACAGAATCTCCGCTGCCCAGTTAGGGTAACTTTATGGCCCCTTCATATCGCCAGAGTGGCAGAAAGGGGCAATGGAGCTGAAGATTTGCTCCAGAGTATTTTGGATCCTTACTGTGGAACGTTTTTGTAAAGGGAGACAGACAGCGTGGGGTCACAGTCAGGCTGCTTTTCCTCACATATGTGAAAGAGGAGGCCAGGCAGAGAACTAAATAGGTCCTAAACTTGGGCCCAGAGTTGTGGTTGCTCTTACCTATTTAGAAGCCATTAACTAAGAAGGTTCAGAGGTTCCTCCCTATGAGGCTCCCTGACTTATTGCAATGCTGCCATATTTAATTCTGCTTCCTGGAGGCCCTTCTGAACTCCATCTTTACAACATGTAGGGTGCATTCCAGGAGACTGAACAGTTGCAGGGGTTTAGGGCCCCCAGTCACTGGCTTGCATAAAGTGAAACTTCCAAACATCAAATAAGTTTACATCTCATGGGAAAATGACTCTACTTACCATGGTCTCCATTAAAAGTTTGATCATGCTCAACGGGGACAAGGTCTTCACCTTCAGAGCAATTGTTTCTCTGAAGATTTTTGAGGACTTTCTTAGCCTTGAGCTCCCTTGTTTTTTGTTTGTTGATTTTTTCCTCCCTGTGGAGACTTTTCTGCAGTTCCTCCTGGCTTTGTAAATGATTCATCTGTATGAGCAATAGAGGAGTAAATAGGTAACTCGTTTTCCAAGGGTTTAACCTCTAAACTCAGCATTCCTTTAGGCTTATGGCCTAATTCTGCAAACAAATAGGCACTTGAATAATTTTACGAGCTCAAATAGAAGTTTGCAGAATCGGGCCCTGTCAGATTGCAAATATGGCTGAGTTCTCAGTGTAATGGGTTCCCCCCTGGGGGGCCATCTGGAACTGGGGTATCACTGAGCTCACTGACCCACCAGCCTGAGGGGGTGGGGAACCCGTCACACTCAGGTCATCCACAGACAGTGGTCAAATATTTCAAATCAGGAATAATTGCTCAGCTTTTCCAGGAAATAACAGATATTAGATTCAACTGTTATCTGAGTCCAGTGACCATCTGAATAAAAATACTAAGATCTGTGCTTCCTTCCCCCGCGCCCCCCCCCCCCATACTGATATTCTTGGCCTCATTCCCACCACGTAAATTACGAAAAATACAGAAAACCAAGCTCTTGTCTAGCACCTTTCTTCTGAAGGTCTTGAAATGCTTTACAAACTCTCATTATCCCCATTTTACAGATGGGAAACTGAAAGCATGTGCCCAAGGTCATCCAGCAGAGCTAGGAAAAAAACCCAGGTCTCCTCACTCTGTCCAGTGCTCTACCCACTGAGAAACACTGTCTCTCATAAGGCATGACTCTGCCTTGAGGAGAGGGAGGAAAAGGGTATTTAAAACAACATCCACCAGGCAGGACTGAACGTGAGATCTCCAGCACTTCATGTGCCATTATCACTTGAGCCACTGGAATAACTCTAGCAGCTGCTACCACTGTGGGCCCTCAAGGGGACAACTAGTGGGGGACATAATACACGTAAGCCAGCATGCTCCCTACTGGCAGAGGGACACAGTGTAAGTTCTGAGATGAACACAAGGCTTTTGTTCTCCAAAGCATCAACAGATACACATACTGAAGGTCAAATAATTAGTTACATCAATCCAGTCCCACTGGAGTCATTGGATGACACTATAACAGAGGAGAACGTGGCCCAGAGAACTGCTCTTCAGGCACCATGGATGGTTTCTAAGGCAAGGTACCAGCTCCCACTGTCTCTGTGATTCAGTACATGGCTTGGATGTCATCAGAAAATCATTCATTTCACTTTTCCAGTTGAGTAGTGGGTGGCACAATGGCAACCACTACACAGGGAGGAAATTCAAATACAAAGGTGAGGACAAAGGAGCAGCCACAAGAGAGACAATGAAGACAAAGGCTGGTAATATAGAACCCAGCCAGGTAGAGAAATGAGTCTGAGCATCTCCCTTCCTGATCTGAATCCAGATGCAACAGCAGCTGGACCACCAGACCTACAGGCTGAGTTCACCCAAGCATGGATTTTATCATTCCAGTTCCCTCTTTCAAACATCTTCAAAACCCAACAAGATTGCGGCTTTACCTCTTCTCGCTTGCGGTTCATTTCTAACATCTGCAGCTTGTGTAAGTGCTGTCGTCTTCCAGACGTATATTTTGCAGTTTGCACTCGCTTCTCCAGCTCCTTGCACAGTATTTAAAAAAAAAATGCAATGCTTGAAACAAACTCACTGGCTCACAGCTATAAAATCCAACCCCATTCCCCTCAATGCATGAAGAGGCCGCTTACCAGAAACAGAGGTCTGTTGCCAACTCTGTCAATGTTATTGCAAGTCTCTCAATATTTGGTGTTTTTCTTAAAGTTCCAACTCTTGGGATCAGGTAATTACTTAAAAATCTCAGTTTACATTAAAAAAAAAAACAACAACAACAACCCCAAACCGTTTCTGGCCCTCCTGGTTGCAGAGAAGTTTAAAAATGTGACTCCCAAATTGGCCAACAGCTGGTGAAAAATTAGAAGAGCCCCCAGATTACGGACTTTTAAATAATGAGATTTTTAAAATCTCATGTTGGGGGGGCATGGCTCATCATTTGTGAGTGACTGGGGTTGAGAATATTGCATTCTCCCTGTTCTCCTCTTGCTCTGCTAGATAACTATCACTAGCAGTTGTGCTATGGCTCTGATTTTTACGGAGTATATTAAGCGGAAAGCTGCCCCTCCCACGAGGCACATTCCTGAATGCTCACCTGGAGACAGCCGATTTTTTTCAAAGATTCTGGGCATCGGAAGCACTCACTAAAGTCGATTAGCAAAAAGCCCATTGAGCGGTTAAAACCAAAGGAACGCTACAGCTGTAAAAGCCTGTGCAATCTCACCCTAGCACTGTGAGGACAATTACCCCACACAGAGAACGTGGTTTGCCTGCTGGGGGAAGCCAGGTGCTGAAAGCACTTCTGAACATCAGGCCCTAACATCCAGACCACCTGCATATTTCTGATGTCTAACTCCTGACGAAATCAATGGGAGTGAGGCACCTAAGTACCTCTGAGGATCTGAGCCTCAAGTGGGGCTCCACATTAGCGAATGTCGTTTTGACCCCTTGGCTTACTGATGCTACACTGCAATTGCTTTAGCTAGATCCCATCTGCCAGGCTGCTCAAAATTAAAGATGAGGGAGGTTGCAATCTCTTATTTTGCACCAGTAAGAGGCCTTACTACTGCCCCCAGAGTCCAAAGGAAGTGAACTTTTGACTTCGATGTAACCAGGATCCAGCCCTAAATGGAACACTCTGGCCCCAGACAACTTCCCAAAAGAGCTGGTCAAACTTTTTTCACATGTCAAATTTCTGCCCTCCTCCCCTTCCCTCCCATATACACATTGTTGCAGCCAGTCTGCTCACCAGTGCAGCTCTTGGCTGGCCGAAGCTGAGAACACCTGGGATAAACAACCACATGGTCTGTTCTCACTTGCATGGTTGCAACCATGTTGGCTTTGATGGGGTTATGTGAGCATAATAGAGAAGACTATTTGGCCTTAAAATGAGACCTCTCATAAGTGGCTAGCGAGAGAGAGGGGCACAGCACGCCTGGTGGGAAGTGGCTGACTATGGACTTGATCTAAAGCCCATTGAAGTCAGTGGAAGACTCGCACTGACTTCAGTGAGCTTTAGACCAAGCCCTGTAAATGATCAAAGCACATGTCTGGAAAACTGCGGGCTACTTGAATTTCCCAGCATGCTGTGCAAGGTAATGGTGCAACTGTGCCAGTTTTACCTGTATTGTGGGAACACCCACCTTTGCTTTTTGGGCTGCTGCCCCTTCCTGCTGGCTGAGGAGCTTTTCAGAAGTGATTACTTGCGGAAGGTCAGCGGGTTCCAGCTTCTGCAAGTCCAATATTTCTAACAGTCAGCGTTCCTCATGCCATGCGATCGTAAAACATAAAAGCCAGACATTAACTCTTAGGCCCCATTGCCCCTAGGCAGTGGGGTCTAGGGGCACTGGGGGGATAGGTGAGAGGCCAGGGGATGCAATTAGGGCCTGGGGGGATGGGTGTGGAGCATCCTTAATAAATAATCCAAGATCTCTTTGGATCTCAGCATCTGTTGGCATTTATTCATGGAGGGCCATAGTGTGAGTTGACAGAACTGAGGAGAAACACCTGAGTTTGTGTTAAAGCAACACAATCTAAACTTTAAAGATGTGTGCTTCTTTTCCGATGGATTGTTCTTATTACCATGTGTTTGTATCACAGTAGCGCCTATTGGTGCCTTAGTACTCTAGATGTTGTACTTACACACAGCAAGAGACAATCCCTGCCTCAAAGAGCTTACAGTTGAAACAGATGTAGGGCTTCAAGGGAAACTGAGGCAGGGAGTGGTGAAGTGACTTGCCCAAGGTGATGCAGCAGATAGAATCATAGAATCATAGAATATAAGGGTTGGAAGGGACCCCAGAAGGTCATCTAGTCCAACCCCCTGCTCAAAGCAGGACCAATTCCCAGTTAAATCATCCCAGCCAGGGCTTTGTCAAGCCTGACCTTAAAAACCTCTAAGGAAGGAGATTCTACCACCTCCCTAGGTAGATCAGTGGCAGAGCCAAGAATAGACGTCTACTCTCCTGAATCCTAGTCTATGGCCCTATCTGCTAGGCCGTGCTGTCACAGTTCAGGGCTCCTCCACTTATACTCCCCTCCGTGTTCCACTCTAGGCTCCTAGCTATAACGTCTCTTGGGCAGAGACCTACCCCTCTCTCCCTCCTGACCAGGGTTATACCAGGCTGCATGGTTCCCTGCCTACACTGTGATATCCCCAGCAAGCCAGATGGCTTAGACACTCTGTGTTGCGCTTTTCTTTTTCTTCAGAGGCTATTAACAGTGTTATTGCCCCCTACTAGGAGTTTCCACACAGCTCTTTCTAAGCAAGCACATTTATTCTTAAGGGGTAAACACTACAGCGAAAACATTAAAAACAGAGTTCCTATATGAATGCTAACATCTTACCTGAGGTCACCCATCAGTCTCATGGGGCCTCAGGAGGCCAAGGTCCTTCCAACCCCTCCTAGGAAGGTTTGGGGCCCCTGCTGGACAGAAGTTCCTGTCCATTGAAAAAATGGCCATAGAGTTCATTTCAACTCAGGCTATTTATCCCAAAGTCCTTTCTTTGTCTGTTGGTCTCTGGAGAATCCAGATTGAACCAGTTTACGTGAGCCTCTCCAAATGGTGGTAGCTCTCTGGAGGTGTCACAAACTGAGTGAATTTGCCTAATTACCCCCAACATCTTCTTAGCTCTTGGTGGGTTATGGCAACCCTCCCCCATAGAATTAGACAATCCTTGGCCCACAATGACACACAGCCTTAATACAGGAAGATCTCCCAGTGATATGGTGGGAAATTACCATATCCATCACACACGCTGCTTCTCTTCTAATGTTTATGTTCAGTAGGACCTTATTCAGTGGGACTTCTCATGGTGTAAGGTATTATTTGAGGTGAGGGAGGGACGCAAAATCAGGATCATTTTATTCACATGAAAGCACACTTTTTATTTCTTAATAATGCTGACCAGAAAATTTCTCCATGACTTCTTTTTCCCCATCAAAATGTCTATTGATGGAAAATTTCCAAGCAACTGTAGTCTCGGATCTTTTATTAAAGCTAAGTACCATACAGTTGTGTTTGAACCGATAGCTGCCATCAAGGTTAAAAACTTCAGAGCACTTTACAGACAGCTGAGTTTGGAGTTTCTTTTCAAGGAATTAAGATACCTGCTTAAAATGGGCAAAACTGCAGAGGGGTAATAGAGGAATCTCTAGTACCTGTTTGTGGCATTGAGGTTCCCAATCCTGCTCCCATAAAAGCCAGTAGGCATCTTGTCAATGCCGTCAATGGGAAGAAGAGTGGACTAATGCTTAATGCTGGACATTAACTTCCAGGTGTACTAACATGCCCTAATTTGTGACTGTACTTTAGCCAGATATAATGAATCAGTGCAAGGACTTCTTGATTTGCAAAGAAATAAAGGTAGTAACTTAGTCATAAAAAGGTTATCACTTAAAGCACACAGGAAAATTCAGAGTTGAGTCCTTGTTGCTTTTTTCACTGGCATTGTTAGGTTGGATGGAGCCAAAACAAAAACAACCCACTACAAAGACACTCAAGACCCAATTCCAAGCCCACAGCAGTCAATGGGAAAATCTCCATTGTTTTGGATGGGCTTCAGATCAGCCTTGCAGACCTGATTGTAATGGTCATTTCTTCTTCCAGTAATATTCTTCCTACTCTTGGTAGTTCATCCTAGAACCAGTGGCAATGCTGCTATAAACCTCTGAGCCTCCTATGGTATATGGCAGAGGTCCTTTCTGTGACTCTTATGCTGCTCCTGACGTGCATCAATGGGACCCTTTAAGGCCTGGGGCCAGAGAGATTAAAGCCACCGTGTGTATTCATAACAGTAATTATGCACATGCTTAAATATTGCCCAACGCGGGGATGAACTGAAACATGTGCTTAAGTGCATTTCTGAATTGGGGCCTGAGGCCAAGCTGAGAGTTAGGTACCTTGAAGGATCTGGGCCTACGATGACTTACCAATGATCACAAAGAGCCAGGAATTGAGCCCAGGTCTCCTAAATCTCAAGCCAGTGCCTTAACCACAGGGCAATCCTGCCTCTCACAAATTTGTCCTAATAAAAAAGTGTCCTGTGGCTTTTTTTCTTGCCCACCCCTCGTGTCTCCATTTACACTATTTTTGTTAGTGCCTGAAAAACTAATCTGAAGTTGTACTAATTTAAGAGATGACACTAGATGGCAGCAACGAACACCACAAATTACAGTATGCAGTGTAGTTGCAGCTGTGTCGGTCGGTCGCAGGATATCACCTTGCTCCCTCCCCTTGCCTCTCTAATATCTTTTATTGGGCCAACTTCTGTTGGTGAGAGAGACAAGCTTTTGAGCCACACACAGAGCTTTTCTTCAGGTCAGACCTGAAGTAGAGCTCTGTGTAGCTTGAAAGCTTGTCTCTCTCACCAACAGAAGTTGATCCAATAAAAGATATTACCTAACCCACCTTGTCTAACTACAAATTATAGTCCAGGCTGTAAATCTTTCACCAGTGCCACCATAGCAGTGAATATAATGTTACTAGCGGCAGGCAGATAAACTCACTAATCTATTAGCTGATCCTACTATGGCCAAGAGGAAGGAGAAGGTTCAGGCTTTAAAGTTCAGTTTTGCTGAGTGGAAGGAAATCTGACCTCTTCTTGCACCTTTGTAAATTTCACAGATTCTTCCTCAGGACCCAGACCACAGTTGGAATCTTCCAATACCTCTTGAAAAGGGAGAATCTTCCTGCTCCATTTTGTTATGCATTACGGAAAATGTTTGTCCAGGAAAGGACACTGCTGTTCTATTTTGATGACAGTGTCTAGTGGCATTAGAACAAGCATGGAGATGGAGGGGGGGAATAATAAAATCTCTAGGTAATAAATACTATTAACAATATTCATATGCTAACCAACGGTCATATAGTTTTTAAACTTACTGCATCAGACCCATGTTCCCAATATGGCAGCTACTTCTGAGGAAGGTGTGAAGAACCCTGCAGCAGGCAGAGGTAGCATAATCAGTGGCACTGGAACAGGGTGGGTCAGGGGGCCAGGGCCCTCCCAGTTTTGAAAGTGGTGGGCCTGACCTGTCCACTTTTCTCCAGGGCAGACCCCACCTCCTTCCTCTTCTCTTCCCCCTCAGGATCCACCCCCCAGACAGGCCAGCAGGCAGCTGGTGGACCTCGGCCAGGGAACCCGGGAAGTTGTGGGAGCCACATGGACCCTCCACCATTCCCACCCCCGGCTCCCTGCCCAGCCCAGGGCTGGTGGAGGTGGAGGGTCCACGACTCCACACCGGCTCCCTACAGCTGCCCATGCGGCTCTGTCCCTGACCCGGCTCCCGCCGGGGATGGGGGCTGCTCAGAGCCACAGCCTGGCCATGGTAAGAGCCACACGGGCAGCTGTGGGGAGCCTGAGTCCCTCCACCCTGGGCAGGAGGTCCGGGGGCCGGGGACACGGGCAGGGGGCTGCTTTTGGTGCCAGCCCACCGCGGCTTGTCCAGGAGCGGGGCCTTGGGGATAAGAGGAGGGGCCTCCTGGGGGAGGGGCAGGGCCTCAGAGGAAGAGGAAGGACAGGCCCCCACTCCTCAGGCCCCCCACTTTTGGGAAGGCTCTGACACCCTTGAGCATAATCTGCCCCTTACATTAAGTATCATTCTGATCCAATGAGGGGCAGGCTGTTCCACATCTGCCGTCTGTGGAGTTCTTGCACCTTCTTGCACTGAAGCACCTGGTGCTGACCACTGTCAGAGACAGGGCACTGGACAAGACGGACCGGGGGTCCCATCCAGTCTGGCAGTGCCTATGTTCCTAATTGCTCCACTCTGTAAAACCCTCTGTTAGCATTAGATGGCCGTTTAAAAGAGGCTGGATCTTGCGCTCAGGATGGGTATTTTCCCTTCTCCTTTCTCGCTGGCTCACAGTCATGGCTCTAGAGAGAGGACTGAAAGTAATCATCAGAGATATTGGCAGGGCAGGGATTTTACAGCCAAGCACAGCTGCTGCTAGGTACTCATTCAAGCCTGGCCCGTTAGAAACTGCTCAAGTAAAGCGAGGATTAGTTAGGAAAATATTATACTTCTTTAAGTCAGGGCTGGCCTTATGGGTGGGTGACCGCCCAAGGTGCCATGGTCAGGGGGGTGCTGTGGTCAAGAGGCAAGGAACGGGACAGGCCTGGAGTGTGAGGCCACAGAAGGGAGCTCAGGGCAATGGGGGAAAGGCAGTGGGGCCTAGAGGCAATGGGGGGATAGGTGAGGGGCCAGGGGAGGCAGTTGGGGCTTGGGAGACTGGGTGTGGAACCCAGGGAGTGAGCAGGGGCCAGGGGTGCCAAAATACAAGTTTGCCCAGGGTGCCATTTTCCCTAAAACTGACCCTGTTCAAAGTCTGGTTTTCATGAGGGAGCGGGGAGGAGGGGAAGCTAAGGAGGAAAATTTATTAGGCACTTAAAGACTGAATGAATCAAATGCTCTTGGGCCATCCACAAAGCTATCTGTGGGTAGTCTGGCTCCAGAGCATGACAGTTGTCACTTTAAGGGAAAGCTCCTTCACAGTTTACAAACATGCCAACCTTTGGCAGTGACGTTGCCCATAGAGTAAAGGGTGGAGTCCGCAAACAGTGCAGGACTCGAGTGGGACCTACTCCCTAACCTTGGGGGTGGCAAGGGCTAGTTGCCTGGTGCAACTTAGAGCAACCTCCAAGCTGCTCTAAATTGCACTCCATTGCCTATGAACCCAAGAGACCATTCTGGTACTTAGGGATTACCAGAGCACAGGGACACTCCAGCTACACCCACCTACTCCACTCTATCTATGGGAGAGGATGATGTGGAGCAGTTACCCCAGTTCTCTGCCAGCTGGAGATTCCCCCTAGCCAACTCACAAAGCTCATAATCTCTGCTCTCTCCTGGGGATACAAGGTCGGTGGATCTCTAAAGCTAAAGAGCAGGATGAGCATGCTGCAGGTAGAATATTTCTATGTAAATGCTAATTGAATGGCCTGTTTGTAGATGCTTTTCTGAAAGACATGCTTTAGCCAAACCCAAATTATGGGCTCAATACCAGGGTAACTGGGTGAGATGTACAGGCGTGATACACAGGAGATCAGACCAGATGAACGAATGGTCCTTTCTGGCCTTCAAATCTATGAATAACTTGACTTACACATGCTGTCCCATTGACTTGATAATATAACTGTAATGGGATGACTCACGTGAGTAAAGCTCCATGGAGTGTTTGAGATTGAGGCCCATGTGATAAAAATAAGTGTTTTGAGTATCTCACTGTTTACCATCAAATACCAAAACCAGCATGCTCTTCAAAAGGCAAAATATTTTCCAGTTTGATATAAAGATTTAATCAAACTATCAATCTAACAACACACAGAGTCGGTGCTCAGCTATTCAATGGCAGAAATGCAGAATTTAACAGATCTTCTTAACTGTCTTCATTGGAAGCTGCACTTGGCCTGGTAGAAAACTGAATTTAACAGCAGCGCTGCACCTTCCTTACCCCCATCGAAAAGAATCTTTCACCATTAAAAGCAGTTCTAGCATTTGCACGAATCTCTAGTTAGTCAACGTGTGGAAGGCAGGAAGGATGGACCTCTAGCTAAGGCACTCGGATGGATCTGGGGAGACCTGGTTACAATGCCCAGCTCTGGCCCAGATTTCCTGTCTGACCGTAGGCAAGCTGTCCAATCGTTGGCGGCTCAGTTCCCCACCTGTGAAACAGTGCTGCCTCATGGGGTGTGATGAGGATAAAGTCCATTAAAGACCGGGCGGTGCCCAGATACTACAACGAGGGAGACCATTTAAGAAGAGAGCTAGAAAAAAAGCACATTAGTGGGTAGCATTGGGTTTCTATTCACTCTGGCTCCTCTACTGGGAGGAGACTTGAGCTCTCACACTCTAGCAGCTCTGACGGCCCATCCAATAGAGGGCTGTGGTGCACAGACTTGCAGAAGGACAGGTAGACGGACAGACAAAGGAAGCCTATTTTTATGTAGTCAGGCTGTTTGGCATTTCTTAAAAGCTGGGACTGCTTCCCTTTTACACGGTGTGAATCAGGAGTAAGGCCACTGACGTAAATGGAGTGACACGAGTGTAAATCCAACCCACTCTCTTCACAAAATACCTTCATTTAAATAATTGTGAGTGAGAAATAATGATCAGCAGAGCTATAATTTCTTACCAATATAGTTCATTCTGATGGCTTTACTCTATCAGATTACAAAAAGAACAAGACATACCCGGGCATGTTTACAGTTAACATGGGATGTTCCCATTAAATCCAAGTAACTCCTTAGGTAGCTCTTTAAATTCATCTTACTTGGAGTCTTCGAGGTGGATGCTGTTTAATAATACTTGTTTCTCCCTTTTCCATCATGATGTCAAATGAAATGGGTCTGGGCACTTAAAGGAACAGAGAAGGAGAAGAAGCCAATAACAGGTTTAATACAATCTCAAATTGATCATTAACTATTAGACTTTATTACGCAAAAGCTTCATGACCTTCTAGTTATAGTGTAACATGCTCCCAAAATACAACAGCACATGGGAAAAAAATGTGTCCACCGGACACCAGAGCTGAATACCAGCAAAAAATCTTCCCTGGATACTTGCTCAAACCTGTCAATGAATTCCCTTTATCCATGCTCACGTCCTTTGCTTTCCACAGACATTCTTGCTATCAGCTATTACTGGCACCGATAAAAATGGAAAATCACATGTGGAAAACAGACATTTAAGTGGACATGTTCGAGTATCTGCGCTTGACTCTACATGCAGGGAATAGAAACAAGGCCATCTGATTCACCTGGCCAGTCGCAACCAAGTTAGGACTTTATCCCACCCCCAGGGAAGGTATAGGGAATCTTCCCATTGTTTTCAGCTGGAATTAAGTCAGCCCCCACCAGTAAAAGAAAATGCTCACTGAGAAAGGTCTGTGTTCAATCCACAGAGGAAAAATCTCAAGGAGGCTTACTGATTATTCTGAAGAACAAATGCATTTGAGAAAATTGATCTGCTCACAGATATTCCATGTCTGATAGAGAGGATGAATTCTTCTGATTAAAAGACTAGCTCAGTTCTACCGGACACACATACAATGTTTATTTATTGAACACAGAATTAAGCTTTATCAAGTGTTTAACAAGTAAGGAACTAGAGGCATTTGCTGATCTAAATACATTTCACACTTTAGTGGAAAAAATCCCAAATAGCTGACTTTTCAAGAGAAAATATTTAGCAGCCAGTAAGTATATAGGGGGAAAAGCAGCTTATAACTCAGATTGCGAAACTCTGCTGTTTAGAAACTACTGTTCTTAAGTCCATAGGGCTAGTTAGTGCCTAAACAATTTCTGATGGTGAAGTAGAAATACAAAGACAGTGAAATATTAAAATATTAGATGCCACATAAACTCAGGGCTAGGACTTAGATGCAGTAGATGGGTTAGCGACATGGGACTCAGGAGGACCTGAGTTCTGTTCCAGATCTGATATTGAGCTGACCTGCTGCATGAAGTTGGGTAAATCATTTCGCCTTTGTCTGACCCTCATTCCACTCCCACCTTTATTAATAATTTTTTTGGCTTGAGGTACATAAGAACGGCCATATTGAGTCAGACCAAAGATCCATTTAGCCCAGTATGCTGTCTTTCAACAGTGGCCAATGCCAGGTGCTTCAGAGAGAATGAACAGAACAGGTAATCATCAAGTGATCCATCCCCTGTCACCAAGGTAGCACCTAGGAGCACCAGTTATGAATCAGGACCTCATTGTGTTAGGCACTGTACAAGCTCAGGACAGAAATAGGGTCCCTGCCCCCAAAGAATTTATAATCAAAGTCTATTTCGACTCTAAGCAGTTTAGGGTAGGGGCTGACTGAAAGGTCTGTACAATACCTAGCACAACCGGGCCCTGATTTGGGATGGGACCCTGATGTATGACTGTAATACGAAGCCCCAGCCTAAATTTAAGAAATTGTACTGTTTGTTTTCTCCTTTGCTCTTCAATAACGTGCTCTTAGAAAGTTTAACTTAACACAAGCTGAAATATATCCCCGTGAATGAAATAAAACATTTTGTGTAGCAGACATCTGTTTGTTTAGACAGTGGCTCCAGCTAATTCATCATTCAAATGTGATCCGCTCTTATTAGCAAAAACAGCACATGTAATGGAATATGACACTTCCAGAGATGACTTTTTGTAAATGTACTTGCTAAGTACCAAATGGTTAGCTCTTTGCTGAACGGAGTAGTTATTTAAGTGCCGCAAATGTCATGCTGCATATCCAGAGCCCGTCCGTATTCATTCCCAGACCCTTTCTGCTTTTGAAATGTCGCTGCTCTCAGGGTAGCGGTACATTTCCTCTCGTGCTCTTAGCGTAACTATCTATATGTAGCATGGAAGGGGGGGAAATATCCAACCCTGCCAAGCCATGTTACACCAGTGTCTTCCAATGGAATTCACTATTAGAAATACGCTAGGGCCTAATCCTGCAGCCATTTGCTCATTTGAATAATCCCACTGAAGCCAAAGGAGACGCAATTATGTAAAACCGGTAGGGTGGTTCCCTTACAGTTTGTATTACTCAGTTATTCAAAGCAATGTTTCCAGTTTCCCGCCTGTGTCCGATACTCTGGTCTAGATCCTCAGCTGGTCTAAATCAGCTGAGCTCCATGATGCTTCTTGTCTTCTTCTGTAAAGTGCAGTGAGATCTACTGATGGAAAACGCTAGGTAAGAGCTTGATATTATTATTACTGCTCTGATTTACATCAGCTGAGCGCCTTGTCCAAACTGTGAATAATTCTTTGGGTTTAACCCAGGGCTGTGTGTGGATCACATAACTATAGACGCATCATAGAGATGTATAGTAACATATATATATGTTATAATATATATAATACATATAATAGGATACAGAAGGACCTAGACAAATTGGAGGATTGGGCCAAAAGAAATCTGATGAGGTTCAATAAGGATAAGTGCAGGGTCCTGCACTTAGGACGGAAGAACCCAATGCACAGCTACAGACTAGGGACCGAATGGCTAGGCAGCAGTTCTGCGGAAAAGGACCTAGGGGTGACAGTGGACGAGAAGCTGGATATGAGTCAGCAGTGTGCCCTTGTTGCCAAGAAGGCCAATGGCATTTTGGGATGTATAAGTAGGGGCATAGCGAGCAGATCGAGGGACGTGATCGTTCCCCTCTATTCGACATTGGTGAGGCCTCATCTGGAGTACTGTGTCCAGTTTTGGGCCCCACACTTCAAGAAGGATGTGGATAAATTGGAGAGAGTCCAGCGAAGGGCAACAAAAATGATTAGGGGTCTGGAACATATGAGTTATGAGGAGAGGCTGAGGGAGCTGGGATTGTTTAGCCTGCAGAAGAGAAGAATGAGGGGGGATTTGATAGCTGTTTTCAACTACCTGAAAGGGGGTTCCAAAGAGGATGGCTCTAGACTGTTCTCAATGGTAGCAGATGACAGAACGAGGAGTAATGGTCTCAAGTTACATTGGGGGAGGTTTAGATTGGATATTAGGAAAAACTTTTTCACTATGAGGGTGGTGAAACACTGGAATGCGTTACCTAGGGAGGTGGTAGAATCTCCTTCCTTAGAGGTTTTTAAGGTCAGGCTTGACAAAGCACTGGCTGGGATGATTTAACTGGGAATTGGTCCTGCTTTGAGCAGGGGGTTGGACTAGATGACCTTCTGGGGTCCCTTCCAACCCTTATATTCTATGATTCTATGATTCTATGATATTAAGGGGTCGCTCCAGAAGTACGCCTCAGGACCTGTCCTGTAACTCTTCCACATCTAGTCCCATTGAAGTTAAGGTCAATGGGACGCCTTCCATGTGTAAGGATCACTCTCGCAATCAAGGGTAGCATGATCTGGGCTGTTTGAGATGTAAATAAACAATTGAGACAGTTTTCTAAAACAAGCTAAAAAAAATGATGTCCTCCCCCCACAATGCTGTAATATTCAGGAAGTGTCAGAAACAGACACATGCCTAGAATAACACCTACACATGCACACATACACACAACTGCATTTGGGAACCTTTCAGCTTTCTACCATTTGTCTTAGTTCAAATGCAATGTTTTTCTGCTGAGCCATATATCTATGTGGCAACAGAAAACACGAAGAACAAATAATCAGCCAAACCAAGCACCCTAGAAAGGGCAGTTGCTTATCCATGGCCAGGTTACCTGTGGAGCATCTGCCATACAGCGTTTCTCTTAGGGGTGGAAGCTGCCTTTGAAACACTGGATTTCTCTCCTCCATGGCTGCAAATGACCATAAACTTCTCTCGTCCAGGGTGCTGTGAAGTCCACATACCGCAGCAGTGCAAGGGGAAGGAGGCACCTCCTCTTTGGTTTGCACTGGTGCCACTTTTGTCACCTTATGATGAGTCCTGGAGTAGCTCAGGCCCATTTTACTGAGTTACAACATTCAAAGAATGACAAGACTCTGTGCAGTAGTTCCTGGACTTGACCGTAGCACTGATCTGTGTCTTTGGCTCCCTTTGAAGGCAATGCCTGTTTATAAAGCTCCCAGGTTCCCTCCAGGGCAACTTTCACGGTCTGCCTGACCATACACACACACAGAGCTGATTGGGTGTCTGGTAAGCCAGTTTCCATGGCTATTTGTCCCCAAGCCTTTCCTTCCTAAATCCAGATTTGGTGAGCCCAGTTAAACATTGACCTGGGCTGGCCACTTCCTTGAGCAGATGAGAGGCTGGCTGCTATTGAATATTAAACTAATCCAGAGACGTCTGAGGTAAATACCAAATATCAGATAATGGCCTCAGGGCGTCTTCCTCTCTCCCATAAATATTTACATCTTAAAACACTCTTACTAAAAGTTGCTCATTTAACCAGTGATTGGCCTTGAGAAGTTTCCCTTTGCTGCTATGACCAGCTGGTTTGTAAAAACGTTGATCTTACTCAGGAAATTTTGTCCTTGAAGTGCTAGCAGGCAGAGGAAATGGACTTAGGCACTGCCAAAGTGAGGAACCACTTATTCTTTACTCTAGAGTTATACTGGTGTATCTGACAGCGTATCTGGCCCCGTAACTTCCCTCAACTTGCATGAGTGTAACCAAAAGTAGAATTTGGCCCAAAGGGGAGAAACATAGAAGGGAATAATCCATCCTTTTTTGTCTCTAATCATCTCTGTGCTAAACATCAGCCTACTTGGACCTTTCCACACCTCACAGTGCGAACCCACCTGGTACCTAGAATAATAATCAATCATCCATATTAACTATCAGTTTCAGAGAACCCAACTTATTTGGACAGCTGGGGATCAATTACATTATAAAGACAGAGCTTGGGATACCCGAGGAGGATTGTTTGGGGGGCTAGGGTAGTATTATCAGTAAGACAGCAGCTCTTGATTAAGCAGGAAAAGGCATGGACAGCAGCCAACAATGTATGTGTAAGGTTCCGAGCTCAATTTGTGACTATACAATGGCTTACATTCATTTAGCAGAACAACGTGTACCTGTCAATGCAGCAGGGCCTATATGCTGATTTGAGAGTAATGAAGCTCTTTCCGGACTCTTCTCTTGGGAGAGGAACATTAAAGGGACCACGGGCAAGATGTGTTAAGGCATTTAGCTGCCTAAAGATGCAGCTAGGTGCCTAGTGAGGTTTCCAAAGCACTTAGATACCTGACTCCCACTGAAGTCAATGGGAGTTTGGCATATCTGAAAATCCCACTAGGTGACCATCTGCATCCTTAGGCACCTGAACACCCTGACAAATCTGGCCCGAGGTGTGTAAGTGCTTTGCTGGATCAAGGCGTTATGCTATTGCTTGGGAATGTCATGGACACCATCCCAGAGAAGTGAAGCAAACTTCACCTGCTTGGGCTCTTAGTCAAAAGGACACAGACCAAGGAGGCCCCTCTTGTAAGGTGTCGCACTTGCAGAGCTATAGTACGCAGACCTACAGAAAATGCCTAATGTCCCTGAATGCTGAGCACCTAGTTTAAGGGCCTTAGCGTAACAACTCAGTACCTGGACTACTCCCAGATCATGCACACGACTGGGGCATGAATAGTGGGGAACCAAATTCAGCTTGAGATGTGAGTCAATATTTGTGAAAAGGTGTTTTAAGAACAACGATGACGCCCCTAAAGACCCCAACCAAGATCATGGCCCCCTGGGTCAAACACAGGGTAACAGTGAGTCCCAACCCAGAAGAATTGCCAGTGTAACCAAAGAGAATATTATCACCCCCAATTTACAGATGAGGAACTGAGGCACAGAGAGATCCAGTGACCTAGCCAAGGTCACATAGGAAGTCTATGGCAGTGCCAGCCATCAGATGCAGCTCTGTTGAGTCCTAGCTGAAGTCCCCCATTCTCTGGGGGGAAGTCCACTGAAGTCAATGAGAATTTTGCCATGCATTTCAATGGTGGACCAGGATTTTACCATGTATCACTGTTCTGAGTTTCTTGCCCAACTCTAGCTGTCATTCTGGCCTTTCCTCCTGTCCCATTTTCATCATAAAGGATTGGCAGGTTTGTTTTGGGGAGCAGAGGGACAGTTAATGAGCAGCCGACATTGTGCAGCGGACCTGTGTAATGCGATCAGATAGGAATGACATTCCTTGGCAGAACTTACTCATCCACAAAACACTTTTACTGCTCCATCTAGTTAATGTTTATTCTGCAAAGCATTTTTCACTGCTTATGACTTTCCTTCACAATCGAATGGAAATTGTTGATACAAAACATGAGGTCTCTGGTGACATGCTGCCAGATGACGCCAGGAAACAAAAAACACAGAGCATGTTTTTTTTATTATTTTTTTTTTGACAGAGCTATACCACAGCATGTGTTGTTTGGGTATGCGGATTTAGTGGGCTGTATGGGATTTGCAGATGCAACACTCACAAATGGGATTGGTATTTACAGCACCAAATATTTTTCACAGTTTGCTATATATTTATTAGGCTTGGTCAAAAATGCCAGTTTTGCTTTGGATATTAAAAACAAAACCCTAAACTTCCTGAGCGAAAAACAAAAAATCCCACCAAGATTAAAGCAAAAAATAAAATCTGATCCAATATGGAAAATTGTTTCTAGTAAATTTGTTTTTACTGAGTTTGGTCATTTTTGCGTTTCATTTTGTTGGTGGAAAACCTGGAAAATGTTGACCAAAAATGAATTTTGTGTGTATGTGAGAGAGAGAGTGTGTGAGAGAGAATAAGTGTATGTATAATATATAATTTGTGTTAGATATAATAAAATATTTAAATAGGTATTTTCCCGGTGACCCCTAGAGTGAATAAGCTTAATTCTGCAATTGAACCCTTTAATTATTTATTTCCCATATATTACCAACCACACTTATTGTGATAGCCTATGTTATGTGTTTTAACAATGGCTCGGAGGCTTGTTTTAAGCTTCAACCCTGCAAAGACTTACACCCTGTGAGTTGTCTCATTGACTTTAGTGGATCTACTCACAGTGTGGAAAATTAGGCACATGTGCACGTCTCTGCAGGGTCAGGGCCCTTCTCTGTATAGATAGAACAAGACACACAGTGAAGAAAAGTTTCAGAGTAGCAGCTGTGTTAGTCTGTATTCGCAAAAAGAAAAGGAGGACTTGTGGCACCTTAGAGACTAACCAATTTATTTGAGCATAAGCTTTTGTGAGCTACAGCTCACTTCATCGGATGCATTCAGTGGAAAATACAGTGGGGAGATTTATATACACAGAGAACATGAAACAATGGGTGTTACCATACACACTGTAAGGAGAGAGATCACTTAAGACGAGCTATTACCATCAGGAGAGCGGCGGGGGGGGAGAGGAGGGGAGGAGAAAACCTTTTGGAGTGATAATCAAGGTGGGCCATTTCCAGCAGTTGACAAGAACGTCTGAGGAACAGTGGGGGGAGGGAGGGAAATAAACATGGGGAAATAGTTTTACTTTGTGTAATGACCCATCCACTCCCAGTCTCTATTCAAGCCTAAGTTAATTGTATCCAGTTTGCAAATTAATTCCAATTCAGCAGGCTCTCGTTGGAGTCTGTTCTTGAAGTTTTTTTGTTGAAGAATTGCCACTTTTAGGTCTGTAATCGAGTGACCAGAGAGACTGACGTGTTCTCCGACTGGTTTTTGAATGTTCTAGTTCTTGACGTCTGATTTGTGTCCATTTATTCTTTTACGTAGAGACTGTCCAGTTTGACCAATGTACATGGCAGAGGGGCCATGTACATTGGCAGAAAAAGGCTAATCATTGTTAAACAGAAACACGGACAATAGTTGATATGGTCCAGCAAGAGTCATGGATTCTGAGGCCAGAAGGGACCACTGTGATCATCTCATCTGACCTCCTGCATGACACAGCCCAGAGAATTTCCCCAGAATAATTCCTAGAGTAGATCTTTTAGAAAAAAACATCCAGTCTTGATTTGAAATTGGGCAGTGATGGAGAATCCACCACACCCCTTGGTAAATTGGTCCAATGGTTAATTATTCCCACTGTTAAAAATTTACACCTTATTTCCTGTCTGAATTTGTCCCACTTCAACTTCCAGCCATTGGATCGTGTTATACCTTTCTCTGCTAGATTGACGAGCCCATTATTAAATATTTGTTCCCCATGTAGGTACTTATAGGCTGTAATCTCCTTAAACCTTCTCTTTGTTAAACTAAATAGATTGAGCTTTTTGAGTCTACCACTATAAGGCATGTTCTCTAATCCTTTAAGCATTCTGATGGCTCTTCTCTGAACCCTCTCCAATTTATCTACATCCTTCTTGAATTGTGGGAACCAGAACTGGTCACAGTATTCCAGCAGCAGTTGCACCAGTGCTAAATAGAGGTAAAATAACCTTTCTACTACTTCCACCCCTCCCAGCCTGCCAAAGGAGACGATGCAGTATATGAGGTCAGTGATAATACTCTAGTAGCAGGGTGGCGTGGCTCTTCTGAATTATTCTTTGTTCCATTAAAATCACTACATCGCTAGAACACCCAGGTTGCATATACAAGCTCTCAGAAGGAAGCCAGGTGATTCATAGATTCATAGATACTAAGGTCAGAAGGGACCATTATGACCATCTAGTCTGACCTCCTGCACAACGCAGGCCACAGAATCTCACCCACCCACTCCTGCAAAAAACCTCTCACCTATGTCTGAGCTATTGAAGTCCTCAAATCGTGGTTTAAAGACTTCAAGGAGCAGAGAATCCTCCAGCAAGTGACCTGTGCCCCATGCTACAGAGGAAGGCAAAAAACCTCCAGGGCCTCTTCCAATCTGCCCTGGAGGAAAATTCCTTCCCGACCCCAAATATGGCGATAAGCTGAACCCCGAGCATATGGGCAACATTCACCAGCCAGATACCCAGGAAAGAATCTTCTGTAGTAACTCAGATCCCACCCCATCTAACATCCCATCACAGGCCATTAGGCCTATTTACCATGAATATTTAAAGATCAATTAATTACCAAAATCATGTTATCCCATCATACCATCTCCTCCATAAACTTACCAAGTTTAATCTTAAAGCCAGATAGATCTTTTGCCCCCACTGCTTCCCTTGGAAGGCTATTCCAAAACTTCACTCCTCTGATGGTTAGAAACCTTCATCTAATTTCAAGTCTAAA